AAAATGAAAAAATAATGGCTATAATTCCAGTCATTAATCATCAGCAACCATGGTTTTCTATGACTTATTTTTTACTTATTCGGCAACAAATAATCCATCCGAGTATAAACTACTTTTTCGTAAGACCAGAGATGGTTTACTAAAGAATCATTTGGAAATATATGATAAACAAGCAAATACTATTGTAGTCATGATGGTTAAAAATACTAACGAAATTCAGGGTGGTTACAATTCTATAAAATGGGATAAATCAATTGATGATTATGTGAGTTGCGAACATAGCTTTATTTTTTTAATTGAAAAAAATGGTACTATTCTTTCCTCTACTTTGAGCTGTCCGGAATGTGGTCAAACTTTTGGAAATGAGCCATATATAAATGAAGCATAATGATCTTTGTTAGACAATTTTAATCAAGATGATTATTTGTGTGTGTAATAAATATTCGTATAAAAAACAAAAATGTGAAAAAATGTGAATGATTATTTTCCGGTAATAGAATACGAAGTATTTCAAATTCAAAATAAATAAATAACACTGTCAAATAGATTATGGTAAAGCAAATGTTTTTAAAATTCCAAGTTTTTTTTTAAAAAAAAATATCAACATAAATAAAACATCATTTATCACATAAATTATTGTTGTGATAATAGCAATCAATGACGCATTTATAGGTCCTTATCGATTTTAAGTATAGGGTTTTTTTAAACTAATAAATTTTGCCGTTCTTTTAGTCAATCGTGCTTTTAAACTATACATTAAAAATATATAATTTACTAATCGAAAACTATTAACTTATTTGCATCACTTTATCAATATCAAATTTGACTTCCAAGAAAATGAAGATTGATAAATTTTTATGTGTTGAATTCTATTGACATTATCAGCATTTATGTACGATTAACAATAGCTCTCCTTATCTAATTCATGTAATTGCTAATCCCAATCGTTAAAGTTCAATTTTATGTATCAATCATCTTTAATGATTAAGCATAAGTGTACGATGAATAATATACTGAATTGGAATTGTGATTTAGTTTTTAAAAAATTTTAAGCATCACAAAAGGACAACTACCCAGTGAAATCCGATGAAAAATTTTTTTATTTGAATTCTATGGATTCCTAGAATTTAAATAAAAAATATTATCGAATTTCAAAAGGTCGATCAAAGTTTTAGAAAGATTGATCTACATGAGTGTGGAAATATCAATTCCCAAATAAAATAATTTAAATTTTTCTATAAGAATTTTTAATATTTCCAAAATGGAAAGCACGCATTTTACATAATCTTGCACAACCTTGCACGTGTTTTGAATGTTTATATCATATAAATGAAAGTCGCGTACAGATATCCGTTTCAAAGTTGCAGATAATCGATTGAAACTACGGCTTGTGCCATGGCTAGAGAGCCATAGCTCAAGTTATAGTTCAAATAATTATATCACATATTCATATATAGCAAGCGGTTAAAAATTATAAATCTTTAAAAAGCTCTTAATACATACGTACATATAAGCAACAAGAACACAATCAATAATAAATATTTTTATTTAAATAAATTTATATATACAGCATATTTATATACTGTATATATATATACATAGATAAAATTTTACAATAACTAGAAAACAACCAAGATATGACAAAATCATATGCACATTATAACTCGCAAATATAAAAAGCCCCTATTAATAAATTATCATCTTTCATATTAATGTAGATGATGTTAAAGCATCTTTTACAAAATAGTTCGAGTTCGATACTTCAGAAACGGGTGTAGATGCCAGCACAGCAGGAGCTTAATGCAAGGGGAAGTTTTCCTCCTTTAGAAACCGTTTTTGCCATCTCTTACGAGCGGGCCCCCCTTTTGCTGCTGTTGTTGTTGGCGGAGGTTGTTCTTGAGCCTTCGCGGGACCTGCTGGTGCAGTTGTTGTAGTCGGCGGTTGACAGACGCTGAGATTTACCAAAGCTAGCAGAAACAATAATAACAAGAATGTGCGAGCCTTGCTTAATTGTATGTTGAAATTCATTTTTGTTTTTGTTTTTTTTTTTGTTATAACGATTTTTATTTGATGTTTTTTTTTGTTATAACGATAGTTATTTCACAAATTTGAGATGTTGAACTCGGGTTGTCTTCCCTTTTATATTTATATCTGAAATATCAACTTGAAAGTTATTATCCTTATAAACAAAAGATTTGACAAAATTGAATCGATTTGACGTTAGAAAAACCATAGAAATCCATATATGGCATCATAATTTGACGTCAGACGTAGATAATGATCTAGAATTCCTTATTTATTATTTATTATCAAACCCATAAAACGATAAAATTTGTTTATTATGACAAAAAATTTAGTCAGAACGATCTACTTAATATAACTTGATTTTGTAGTCTTCAGAATTTGTTGTTGCAATTTACGGCCTGATTATCTGATCTTGTGAAAAATCGCGAAAAAATAAATAATTGTTTTATCGGGAAACATTACGTAAAATTTTGCGAACATGTAGGGCGTCCTTATTGTGTTACTTTAAAATTTTTAGCTTTAGCTAAATTATTAAAATAAAATTCTTTCCAACACAGTATTTTTTGTAATGTTAATTATAGTTATATATTGATACGTTGGTATATGTCAGTACAGATATGGCAAATGCTTAATTTTAGAAATTATGCGCGCATTGATCGACAAGTATATACGTAGATGGGTACGTACGTACCTACCTGTTAACGTTAGCTTCCTATTCTCAAAAATATCGATATCTTTTATTTTTAGTAATGGTTGATTAATTGCTTAACGTTAAACTTCTTAACGTTAATGATATAATTTGGCTGAAATATATTTATTTATTTGTCAGTTTTAGGAAATGGCATTTTACGTATTTAAACATTCTATATAAATCTTTCAGTAAGAAATTGCTCACCGATCATCGGTTCATATTTAGTAAATCCCTAACGTATAAGGATATGAGATGTCCGATTCGAAGTCA